TGCGACCGCTAAATCTAAAGCACAAGGGTTATCAGATTCCGACCGTCCCAATCGATGTGATACAATCCCAGAGTCCAAAATGGCGGTGTGAGTTGTTAAGTGTTAGTTGTCAAGTGATTTTTGTCGAACCACAATGAAGTCCTTTTCCTTCAATGCCTTGTTCCTCTTCATCGTGTCACTGTTCCTCAGCTCCATTTCAGCTTTTTCTCCAACTGGCTCCATTCGCCACCCCGTCAAGTTTATCATAGGTTCGATTTTCTCATTCATTCTGGGTTTGGTGTAGGTCGTGGAAAGGTTAGGACTTGGAAGGAAAGATCAAGGCTTGCTCCTAGCTTTTTGCTTCATTTCATCATGTTGGGTTTCCCAATTTTTGGTTTTCAGGATTGGAAAAATGGAAATTTCGGATGCCTTATGGCTAATCGTTGCATGTTGGCTTGTGGGGTTCTTTTGGTTTCATCTGTTTTGCTTTGCTTGCAAGTGTGGTTGATTAGTACTTTTTCTTTTTTAATTGTGTCTGTTTCCGCTTTGCAGGAGAGGGAGAAGAGAATTTGGGTCCATGGAAGAGTGAATTTGCCCGGGTGGCTCCAGCACCAGGGCCTAAGGGTGAGGATGTTCTTATCCTGGCGGCTAACAGGACCAAAAGGCCTGACATTCTGCGAGGATTTCGACGCTACCAAGGTGGCTGGGATATTGCAAATCAGCATTATTGGGCTGTAAGATTACTTCCTTGATCATCGTGTTTTAAAATGGGTGGATGATTTATTCTATGATCAGTGTCAAATCCATGTTGAGAAATGAAGTTCTTGCATGTTGCCTGACAATTCTTTTTGGACATCCTAGATCTTTGTTGTATTCGATTGAAATGGAGAATCAAGAATGCTATTGTTCTACACGTTTCAACTGTTTTCCTGCTCATATATCTATCATTAGGAAATGTGAACTGAATTATCATCATGATTGATATCTGGTAACTAAGGCAACTTTTGAAACTCACATGAGTGATATTTTCTGTAATCATAGTCTCAGGGAGCATATCGAAGAGATTTAACTAATTATTTGGACTTAAGAAAATAACTCATGACTCCTATAAGTTCTTATTTGGGGTAACTTGTCAAATTTATAACAAAATCTCTAATGTAATAAGAGATGATTAAACGAGTGTTTCATTAAATTGTTTATCCAAATAAACCTTTACTGTATGCCTTCTTGCCACTGCTGTATAATTAACAACCGCAAATGTACATCTATATGTAAACTGTATTTCTGTCTTGGTTTTGTTTTGCTCTTTCTTTGACTTTACGATTCTTTGAAGTTTGGAGTCTATTGTTCAGATTACTCGGTGTGTTCTACCTTTAGAAGATTCTTCTCTTCTCACTTCAATTAACCATTATATCTGCAGTCAGTTGGATTCACTGGTGCGGCTGGTTTTATTCTTGCTGTCCTGTGGTTTATCTCATTTGGCTTGGCGCTTGGGATACATCTATGCTGCGGATGGGGAATTAACATCAAGGACAAAGGATCAAATCGTTCACAAAGGATTTGTCTCATACTGCTTATATTGTTCACTTTTGCTGCAGCGTAAGGCTCTATTTTGATGTTCCCCTTGTTAATTTCGTGCATGTTTGGTTCTACGTCCAGAGTACTTGACCCGCGTAAAAAACGTGAAAACAAGAAGCTAATATTACTTGCTTCTCCGTCAAATTGATGTGAATTTGTTAGAAAACATGGATCAATGACGTGAATCTAAACACACTTTTTCATGGGATGCTGTATTTCCTCACAATTCCCCTTGTTCTTCCCCCCTTTATCAAGATGTGGGAAAATTGTTCTTTAATAAGCCTTTTCATGGACGGTTACCACATTTTCTTCTGCATTTGTAATTAAAAATCATGTGCATGGATGTTTATTATTTTTCAATGAAAAAAAAAATAGCAATCTTAATGATAGTTTGGTAATAATGTCATTCTGTTGCTGCTAAATTTTGAGAATTGGTCTTTGCGCAATACATGTGAAATTTATGTATATTGCTAGCTCAAAAGTTTTATTCATCACAAATTCAAACTTGGTTACTAACATGCCCCATTTTCTAATCACACAGGACTGGATGTGTCCTCCTTTCTGTTGGGCAAGATAAATTCCATGGTCAAGCGTTGGATACCCTCCATTATTTTGTCAATCAGTCAGATTATACAGTACAGACTCTAAGAAATGTCACAGAGTATCTCTCCCTTGCAAAAACTATCAATGTCACCCAGATTCTTCTCCCATCTGATGTCATGGATGGTATTGACAAGCTCAATCTGGATCTAAATACTGCAGCAAACACACTTTCTGAGAAGACAAATGAAAATTCAGTTAAAATTCGAAGAGTATTCAATGACGTGTATGCAATCATAAAATATAAAGCCCTTCTTTCTAGAATTTGATATTCCATCCATTGTATGATGCTAAACTTGGTGCATTTTGTAGGCGGACAGCTTTGTTTGTTGTGGCAGCTGTGATGCTTCTTCTGGCTCTTGTTGGACTACGTATGTGTTGATCATAAAATCTTGAATAAATTGAGTTAATTATATATTTAATTATTTATATCCCTGAACACTTCTCGGTTATAACTGACACTTATTTTTGCAGTCCTGTCTGTCCTTGGATATCAACATGCAATCCTCATGTAAGTTATCTTTGCTTATGGTCCATTGATATTACCTTTGTTATCGTGCCTCGTATGTATATGAAGGATCCTTGTTATATTTGTTCTTCTATCTGATTTCAAAATGTTTTGCAGATTTGTTATCTCTGGATGGTTACTGGTTGCAACCACATTCATTCTTTGTGGAGTATTCATGATCCTTAATAAGTAAGTCATTATATACAATATATTTCCGTTTATCTTATTACCAGGAATTAGTAGGAACTATTCACTTTCTACTTTCTAGGCTCCCTCCGGGCATTCATGTGCCATTAGAGGAAGTTTGTTGCATTCAGTGCATCCAATCCCTCTCCTTCACCTTCAATTCAAAGTTGTATCTCCATAACTAAACTTGTCCGGGCTGATAACATGTATTGTAATGAAATCCAATTTTCTTTATTTTATGGAAATTTGTTTCTGTTCAAAATCTAAAATTAACAACCAGACCTGACATAGTAAATTATTTCTATTACAGTGCAATTTCTGATACCTGTATGGCTATGGGAGAATGGGTAGCAAATCCTCACACCGAATCTGCTCTTAGTAATGTCCTTCCGTGTGTTGATCAGACAACCACAAACAAAACACTATTTCAAAGTAAACAAGTGGTCACCAATATTGCGAGTGTTGTCAATCAGTTCATCTATAACACTGCAAACTCAAATTCAACACAAGGTAGTCTGGGGTACTACAATCAGTCTGGGCCTAGAATGCCATCTTTATGCTACCCTTTTGACTCTCAGCTTCAAGAGCGTCAATGTACAGATCAAGAAGTTTCTTCCGCCAATGCTTCAATGGTATTTTTTTTTTTCATCACTTGGTTATTATTGAGCTTTGCCACTTGCTAGCTTTTGGTAGCTTTCTTTCCCCTTGCCCACCAATAGAAAATTCACGTGTGTTTGTGATAGAGAGAACTGTTGGTTCTTTTAAGCTTTGAATTCTAGTTAAATACTGAAAGGGATAAGATTAGATTGCTATGCACTACAATTGTGTATCAAATAATTTGTTTAATAGGAAATGATTTACTATATATCTTATCTTTTATCTTTTTTGGCGTTGGATATTTGTGGCATCTGAAACCTAGGCTTATTGGTGTTTCGTTCGGTACATGCATGACTTGTAACTATTTTGATTATTTGCCATATCTCTTAGTTTTACTGTTGAATTGTTCTAAATGTTTTGTATTATGTTCCAGACAACGATATATATAGAATCTCATTAAGTCCGTTGTTTAAACTTTTCAGGTTTGGAAGAACTATGAATGTGAGGTATCTGAATATGGTATTTGCACCACAGTTGGCAGGGTGACCCCCGATATTTACTTGCAGTTAGTAGCTGCAGTGAACGAAAGCTATGCATTAGAACATTATACTCCACCTTTACTTAGCCTTCAGAATTGCAATTTTGTGAGGGACGCCTTCACAGGAATCACTTCAAGCTACTGTCCTCCATTGAACCATTACCTTAAGATTATTAATGTAGGACTTGGCCTAGTTTCCGTTGGTGTTCTACTTTGCCTTGTTCTCTGGATACTCTATGCAAACCGCCCCCCAAGGAGGGAAGTGTTTGAGAAGTCATCCTTACCAGAAACAACCACAACTTTACCCTTGTCAAATGCAAATAGTCAAGTATAGTTTGTACAATAGAAAATCAGTTCATAAGGTAGACTATTACTGTTTTACAATTCCCTATTATATTACGGGAAGAAACAAAGATGGAGCGAAGCTGCATCTTGGGTTTGAAGAGTATATAGCCAAAGCTAGTGTACTGCAACATTTTGTCCATATAAAGAAAGAGCATTCTATTTGTTTGTAGCTTTAGATTTTTGGCTTCCTAAATGCTGTGCCTGGTACCACACTCGTAGTCAAGTTTTGTTTCTATAATAAACTCAGCATAAAGAATAAAATCAATTATACTTTTACCCAAGTTAAAATTAACTTTTGTTTACGTTGTTATTTTTTTTCTCTAGCAAGTATTTATTGAATTTCTCCGAACAAATTTTTTTTTTTATATAATTTTTGTCATCCTATCAGGTGAAGAAGTAAAGATTCATTAAAATCAATATTATGTGCATATATTTAGTAGTAAGAAAATCCTCAGAAGCCATTGTAAGTGAAAGTTCCCGTAGGAGACAATTATTTGCATTAGCGTGATCGTGTTCTCTACTATGGTCCCTAACAGACCTTAAAGAAGGTTTACCTAAAAGATCGGCATTAGTTTGGGCCAGACGAATTTCCAGTCTGAAGCTTAAAAGACTAAAATTGGATTTGGAGCAATAAATCCAGAGAGAATATAATATACATAACAATTTCTGAATGTAATGTAATGTATTAGAATTAGAATATTGTTTGAAATTATTTACTCCATCTTTATTGGCAGTTGGGAAGACAAATAAAAAAATGAAAAACCCTGTTTGAAAATGACACGCATGAAAGCGAAGTGGACTAAAAATTTACAGTGCGTCAAAATTCAGAAGGATCAAACAGGTTAAGCTCAACGTCAACGTGAACGGCGTTCTCCTGTGGTGCCAGAACATCGCTGACGCCGTGAACAACCACCCTGTCGTTGAAGAACACGTCGGGGAAGAAAACCGGAACTCCGTTTAGAGTCAGAATGCCGCCTGATCTGGTAATGTTGATGGCGAATCCCTCCAAGAACGTCGCCAACTCCGATCCGTCGCCGAAATCCACCAGATCGTTCCACAGAAGCCGGCACGGCACCACGTGGCGCCGAAAGAACGAAGGATACTCGCCGATGTCGCCGATGCGGTTCGCCACCATCTCGTCCGCCGGAGCGAACACCGTGATTCCGCCCTGCTCCGCCACGCCGGAGAGCTGCATTCCGAGAAACGAAGCGACGACGGAGTATCCGCCCGATTTTAGGGCTTGGACGGCTTGGTCGAACGAATCGGAGGCGGCCGCGGTGTGGTTCTTCCCGGAGCAGGAGGAATTGGAATCGGGACTAGGTCTTTGAGTGTTGAACTGAAACGTAGGGTCAAAGAAGCGTTCGATTCCGTAGACTAGGAGAAAACCGTCGTCGTAGATGGGAGATCCGGTGAGCCTGACGTTGTTGATGGAGGTTACGCGGTCGGAGGTGGTGACGGTGAGGGACTGGCCGGGGAGCATGGTAGGGATGGTGGCGCCGGCGGTGAGGAGGCGGAGGCTGGGCGGCGGGAGGGGGAGCGGGGCGAAGTGTAGGCGGAGGAGGTCGAGGGAGGGCTGGCCGGACTTCTTGAATGCGGTGTCGGAGGGGGCGAAGACGGTGGCTGAAGGCGACTGCTCGAGGAGGGTTTCGGCGACGATTTCAAGCGTGAGGGACATGGACACGAACCCTGAATCGGAGAG